GGGGGGGGGGGGGGGCAGGAAGGAGGGGAAAAAAATCTTCCTCGACATTTCACATACAGAGTTGTTGGGTACAGCCCTGACTTGTGGACTCAGCTTTGCTTTGCTTCTGTTTTAGCTGTTTCTCTGCTACCTTTTCAGCAGATTTCTTATTACACTGCACTGGATTGCTATATTTTTAACCAGAAATAAACTAAGGATTAGAGCATGTGCCAGTTAAATTCAGTTCTTTTCCTTACATAGTCTTATTCCCTCCTGTCGCAGTTTTTCTTCCTCTTTCCCTTTTCAGGCAGAGGGCTATGGGTGGACAGGGTAAATGATAACTGAAGGCAGCAGACCCCAGTTAACTTTTAAATTTCATTTTCCTCAGTAAATGTCCATCGTCTTCATACCTCCTTTTTTTTTTTTCTCCTTTGGTTTTTCCTTGTGGGTCCTTAGTCATCTTTTTTTTTTACTCTTGAATGGCTGCTGCATACTTGAACCAAATAACAACATATTGTGATTGCAGCCCCAGGAACTCATCCCCGTGTTTTGTGATTCTGGTTGCAACTCTTTGTAAAGACTCCTGAGGACTCTTTCTGTACATTCAAGTGCATGACACAAAGGTTCCACCAGCAGCAGGTTAAACAGTTACATGCAAACACAGTACGGTATCTATCTATATACAAAACAGCACAAAAATGCCTCTCACTACCAATCAAAGTACTAGTGATTCCATGACTAGCTTTTTCACACTGGTGGCCAACTAGTTATCCCTGCCCTTGCCTGCATACCAGCAGTTATGTACAAACACAAAGGTAGCTCAGATTTATTATCTCTCCGTTCCACGGGATAGAATCTCAGCCAAGCTGAGGTTCGTTCAGTATGAAAGATAGCCAAAGACCAACATTAATTGGTTCCCAAACCACGTGTTTAAAAATAATGATACCTTTATTAATCACCGGGAGCTGAGCAATTTATCTTAGTTCTGGGCTTTTCACATTTGCCCAAGGCCAGAAATATTAAGAAGTAGCCCAGAGAGAGAGGTAATTCAGTCTATTTCCCTGTCTTATGAGCCTGGGATTCATGCATTATCTACCTAAGGCACATGAAAATGTCTATCATCGTGGCATATAAATCTATGTAAATTGTCCATAACCTGCTGGTTTATGTCCACACTGACAGACGCATGACAACAGCTGAAGGTTTATATATATTTTGTTTTTTTTTTTTTAAGGCTGCAATAGTATTTTTATGTTCTTGCAGTGGAACAAGCAGCACCTGAAACACAGAGGGGCTGGGGCTCGAGGAACCAGCCCACCTCCTGCCGACGGGGTAAAGCCATTAGAAAAAGGGCAGCTGTCCCTCCCCAGGGACATCCAGGTCCCCCTCAGCCAGACCCCAGGGTTGTGAGTGATGGGCTGGTTTGACATCACATCTTTGGGGACAGCAAGGAAGGGATACAAAAAATCCTCCACCCGCTCGTGCCACGTCAGCTTCTCACCAGCCCATCTGGCGTCTGGTTTGCTTATACCCGAGACCCAGATTCTCTGAGCACGTTGGGACTCTCCAGGGCTTGATCTTTCAGAGATACTGAGCTGTTGCAGCATCTATTTACCTTGTGCAGAGGTATGAAGTGCTGCTGGGAAAAAAAAAAAAAAAAAAAAAATCCAGACTGCAACAGAAGGGGAGGGGCGAGAGGAGAAATAATGTCATATTGATGACGAAGGTCTTAACTGAAACCCAAGGACTAATTACATGTCCTGACAGGCCTTGGCAAGTTAAGGGAGGATGGAAAAGTAGGAATCTTTTAAAACTGTCATAGGGTGAGGTTGGTTCCAGAGATTTGTGCTGAAGCAGAACAGAGCAGAGGCCGGATGGGATCTCCTGCCCAGGCCGCACAGCTTGCTGCACGGGGGTAAATTATTTGCACAGAAGATGGGCCCTGCAGACTCTTGACACGACGACTTGTCAACTCATCAGTCAGGTTGCTGCCTATCACCGAAGTTCACACAGCCCTTGACCAGCTCTGCAGGGAGCCCAAGGCTTGAACCATCGCTGGAGACAACCCTGAGCACAGTAAGTGCTAGATAAGGTGCCTTTGAACAACAGATCCACCAGGACTATGCTTCCCTCAGAGGCATTTCAAGCTCTTGAGTTTCTTTTATTGATCTGTTTCAACTAATATTAAGCCACAGGCACTGAGCTTTGGCACTATCACCAACCTGTTCTTCCAGGGTATGTGCAATCACCTTCTCAGCAGGCCAAGAGAGGGAATTTCAACAGGCAATGAACCCCCATGGCTACTAATCAGTGCCCAAAGGTCTGAATCTCTAACTCAGACAGACACACCATGAGCTGTCTCCCTTCGGAGGTCACGCTCCACGGCATTAAAGAAAACTTCACTGTCTAGATGTTGAGAGATGGCTGAGCGTTGCCCATAAAGTTTTTGTCAGATGGATGGCTTAGAAATGCTGTGGTGGGTTGCACATTCCCCTTCTGGAGGGGTCAGTGGAAGATTGAAGTTTAGAGATACTCACATCCACGCACAGGTGTTATTTGCTCAACGACACCACTACCTAGCAGACTCACAATCCTTATTATCTGCCTGTTCCCTTTTATCCCCATTTGGGTGCCCTGTTAACAGCACCGACAGACTAGCAAGGCTCAGGCTCTCTTCCAGCCTCGCTTGTTTTAACGTGCCAAGAAAACCATCATCCAGCCCCTTACCTCCTCCGTAAGAGCAGCCGCCCCCACCCCAGCAGCAGCTGCATTTTGGTATCAGGTGTTTGGTCTTGTTGGAAGGGAGAACTCCTCCTGCAAGCAGCAGGAGTACTGCTCCCCAACCCTTTCAGCGTGGAGCATATTCTAAAGCTCTTGTTTGTCTGTGGGTTAGTGATGAAGGATGCTGCAGCTGTTGGGCCAATGGCTGTTTCCCAGCAGAAGCTGAAGCATTTGACATGCTCCCATTCCCTCTCTCCACCCCTCAGAGACCTGCACTTGTAAGACCTGTGTCTTCAGCCTCTCTGTCCTGCTGACAGACACAACGTGCAAAGGACAGGTTAGTACTGCTTGGACCCACCCACAGTATTGCTGAGTAAGAAAGCAAGAGTTTTGCCAAATCAAACCAGACAGTGATTGAACCCAGATTCTCTCCAAGACAAATGAGGAAGGATGAGACTGGGCCAGCATGTGCAGAGCACAAGCCTGACAAACACTCAATTTGCCAGCAGAAGAGTTTAGGACTGGGTTATCTCCCTAAGCCACCACAGCAGGTAGGCAGCGCTGCCAGGCGATCAGCAACTCAGCATGACTGAACTGAGCCTTTCTATTAGCAAAATCCCATGAGCAGAGATGCTGGGAACCAGCTTTCCACCTACAAACAGCATTTACCTCTACGTCAGCCCAATTACCCCGATTGCT